TCATCGACCCTGCCGGTGACCCTGCAGGGGGACACATAATGTCCATTTTGCAGGAGAGGAGACAGAGGCTAGAAAGGTTTACTGGACTGCTCAAGTGCGCGTAGCTGAGCCAAAGATTCAAGCTGCATCCTCCAATCCCTAAAGCCTGCACTTCTGCCCGCGGTTCCTGTGTTCCGTCTCAGCCTGGGCATCAGTGTTGTGGGAATCCAGGCTGCGTGGTCAGGCAAACTGGGGGTGACTGAGGGCTCTGCTGTGCCAGGAAGGGGTTAACTGGGATGCCCTCAGCAAGCTGAGGTTTGGCCAGGCTAGTTGCCATGGCAACGGCAAGGTTTGGGGAGTGGGAGGCCTGCATGGCCGGATCTTCTGAATCACTGGGTGTTTATTTGGTAGTGAACCCCTTGCAGAGTCCTCTGCAGAGTCCTCTGTGACTGCACGTGGCCACCAGGAGTGGCTTGCGGGGGGCCGGGGTGAGGGCTCGAGTTCTCTGAGAGGGTGAAGCCCAGAGGCCTCCGCCAGGTTGCCCCTCACCAGTGCTGCCTCGGGAGCCTTTCCCACCAGGAAGACCCCAGTCTTCTGCCTTCAGCTCCCAGATCCCCAGGCTAGGTGGGCACCGGGCCTGAACACAGATCTGGGGCCAGAGGGGGTTAATCAATCATTCATTTATTCATTCTTTACCAAATATTGATTGCTTGCCCTAAATACACCAGTCACTGTACCAGGGGCTGTGACCTGGGGTCAGCTTCCAGAAGCCAGACGGGCTCTGCACTCACAGAGCTGCCTTTCCAGTGGGCTGGAAGACATCCCCCCCCCACGTGCTTCCTGGGTGTCACCGTGGGCGAGTCCCTTTCCCTCTCTGAGCTCATCTGCAAAATGGGGCCCGTGACGCCCACACTGCAGGGATGCTGGTGTGGACAAGGTGATATATTTGAAGCATTTCCCCGGGTGCCTAGCACACAAAAAGGGGCTAAACATGCAGCTGTGACATAAACTCCTGTAGGCCGCTCACCTTTCCTCCCAGCCTCAGAAGCCAGGTGATGATAAAACTCACAAATGAGGAGCCCTAGACTCTAGACCCGGGGCTCACGGTGAGGCAAAATCTCAATACTGACCCAGTTAGACTGGCTTTTCCACCAGCGGGCCTGGGACCTTGGCTTCAGTCTGCCCCTTTGTAATGCGGGAGCCTTCTTCCTCCACACTTAAAGGCGGGAACATACCTGAGCTGATGGGAGGTACTACAGCGGACGTTTGAGTCCACTGGGAGAATCAAGGCCATTTCCCCCACCGCCCACACCCTGATAAGACCCCATCCTGGCCTTCCTCTCCAGCCCAACTAAGCTTTTTCGACAATATGGATCTCAGCAGTTATCTGTTGATTTGATTCAAATTTGCTTTTCGAAGCTAGACTAACCTCGCCAGGGGGAAGGCCTCCTCCCAATACCCATTCAGGGCTCTGGCCTCTCATGTCTCCCCCTCGCAGCCCCCAGCTGGTGTGCCCTGGCAGCAGAAGCAAGAACTTGATTATGTGACCTGCCCCACACTGCACCCCACAGGTGCAGGTTCACAAGGGAGGGAACCCCGAGGTCCTCGGGGTCAGCCAGAGAACCACCCTCTGTGGCCTCAGCACAGGACAAGGCTGCTGCTGGGGGACAGGAAGGTCAGCCAGGCCGGTTACAGTTAGAAGGAACATGTACACCACACCTACGCTTAGAGAACCAGCAGAGAAGGAGAAAAACTTACAAGAATTTCAGATTTGATAGCTCAGAAATACAAAGCTTCAAAGTAGTCGTCATGGGAAAACTCAAAATGTTGGAGCACTTTCTCACACTTACTTTGTTGGCTTAGTGTTGATTTTGTTTTGTACTGCTCATGGCCTGATTGTTTTGGGGGCTGGTGCCTCTAGAAGTCTCCATCAAGGCCTGGAAAATGAAAGTGGGGCGCACGGTCTGTGGGATCCCCCCAAGTCTGTCCCCAAAGGACAGAGAAGGAAGGCGTTTTCCTCTTTCTTCTGTCAGACACCAAAGGAGGTGAGCTTAAGCTGGGTTGGAGGTGGTGCTAATGAGTCATCCAGGCATCCAGGATTTTCTTCTCTCACCACTCTTGAAAACCTTCCCCCCGGCTGGGTGTCCGGGTACACGTTTATCCTGGGACAGGGCTCACGGAGCAGATCATAGCTGTCATTTGTTGGTGAAAGGTCAGTGGGCTGGGAGGAAGCTGTTGGGGGTGCTGGGAGGGATGACAGGAACTGCGGAGATGAAGAAGCTCCCAGCCAGCCCCGCCCCTGAGCTGGAAAATCTTTAACAAAGGATCCGGCCAAACCATAAAAGAAAAGGACAGGCAGACAGACATGCCCCCGTGAGGAGGTCAGAAAACGCTTGGACAGCAGAAGGAAAGGAGACAGATGGCCTGAGAGAAGAAGGAAGCCTGGAGAGAATGTCTGAGGATTTCTGTTCTGGTCTGGTCTGTTCTTTTTTCTCTATTCTATTCCTTCCTTCTTCCCTTCCTTCCTCCTTCCTTCCTTCCTTCCTTCCTCCCCTCCCTCCCTTCCCTTCCCTTGCTTCCTTCCTTCCTTCCCTCACTCCCTTCCTCCTTCCTCCTTTCCTTCCTTCCTTCCTTTTTAAATAGACTTCATTTTTTAGAGCATTTTTGAGTTCACAGCAAAATTGAGCAGAAAGTCCAGAATTCCTACGTATCCCTGCCCCCGCTCACACACAGTCCTCCCCGGCCATCAGCATCCCCACTAGAGTGGTACATTTGTTATAATCAATGAACCTATGTTGACACATCATTATCACCCAACTACATAGTTTACGTTAAGCTTCACTCTTAGTGCTGTACATTCTACGGGTTTTGATAAATATGGGACAATATATATCAACCAATATGGCATCATACCTCATGGTGTCACTGCCCTAGAAATCCTCTGTGCTCACCTATGCATCCCTCCCTCCCACCTAACCCCTGGCTACCACTGACCTTTTTTTTTTTTAATGTTTATTTATTTATTTATTTTGAAAGAGAGACAGCAAGCACGAGCAGGGGAAGGGCAGAGAGAGAATCCCAAGCAGGCTCTGCACAGACAGCACAGAGCCCGATGCGGGGCTCAAACTCGCGAACCCATGAGATCAAGACCCGAGCCGAAATCCAGAGTCAGCTTAACGACTGAGCCACCCAGATGCCCCAACCATTGATCTTTTTACTGTTTCTATAGTTTCACCTTTTCCAAAAAGCCCTACAGTTCGAATGTATGTAGCCTTTTCCGATTGGCTTCTTTCAGTTAGTAATTGCACTGAAGTTTTCCCCATGTCTTTTCAAGGTTTGATAGCTCATTTCTTTTTAGTGCAGAGTAATATGCCATTCCTGGATTTACCACTGTTTGCTTATCCATTCACCTACCGAAGGACAGCTTGGCTCCTTTCAAGTTTGGGCAATTATGAATAAAGCTTCTATAAACATCTGTATACAGGTGTTTGTGTGGACATAAGCTTCAGCTCCTTTGGGTAATACCGAGGAGCATGATGGTTGGATTGTATAGGAAGACTATGTTTACCTTTGTAAGAAACCGCCGAACTGTCTTCCAGAGTAGCTGTACCATGTTGCACTCCCATAGGATAGGAGCGAGAGGTCTTTCTGTTTTTAACTTTTTTTTTTTAATGTAAGCTTTACACCCCACGTGGGGCTTGAACTCATGACCTCCAGATCAAGAGTCACCCGTTCTACTGACTGAGCCAGCCAGGCGCCCTGAGTAAGAGTTCTTGATGTTCCATGTCCTCACCAGCATTTGGTGTCATCGGTGTTCCAGAATGTGGCCTTTCTAACGGTAGCAGCTCAGTGTTGTTTTAATTTGCAATTCCCAAATGACATTGGATGCGGAGCATCTTTTCATATGCTTATTTGCCATCTGTATGTCTTCTTTGGTGAGATGTCTGTTCAGGTGTTTGGCCCATTTTAAAAATTGGGTTGTTTGTTTCCTCATAGCCGAGTCCTTTGTACATTCTGGATAACGGTTCTTACTTAGATCTGGCTTTTGCAAATATATTCTCCCCATCTATGGCTTGCCTTCTCATGCTCTTGAACCCCAGCTTCTGAGCTGATGGTTCCAGCCCTTGACCAAGCCCAGAGGTGGTACAGGATCTAGCCTTTTGCACCCAATTCAGGACTCCTCCAATGGGCAGGCTTTGCTCTGGGTGCCTCAGGGGCTGGCAGAGACCTTGTCGGATGTGCACGTGGTCTGGAGGCCCTGCCCCATCCAATCTAGCGTCCTTCCTACTGCAGGGGGCTGCTCCCATTTACCTCTGTGCAGAACTGACTCTCAGGCTCTGTTAGTGCTGGGAGAAAAGAAGTCGGAGAGATGGGCCAGAGAGAGACTGAAGATGCCGTTTGTTTTAAGCTTATTTCTTTATTAATTTAAGTAACCTCCACATCCAATGTGGAGCTCAAACTCACAATCCTGAGATCAAGAGTCGCATTCTCTTCCCACTGAGCCAGCCAGGAACCCCTGGAGGTACCAATTTAAATGGAGAAGTCAGGGAAGGTGCCACCGATAATGTCACCATGTCGAGCTGAAATCACTGCAAAGGGGTCCAGGAGAAGGCAGGTCAAGTGCAAAGGCTCTGGCCTATGTGGCCGAGGCAGAGGGTGCCAGAGGACTGGGAGACGAGGCCACGAAGTTTCAAAGATTGGAATGGAGGCAGGCCATAGTCGGAAGTTTGGATTTATTCCAGATGCGGCAGGAGGCCACCGGAAGGTTTTCAGGCTAGAAATGATTCGCGTTTTTTTTTTTTTTAATTTTTTTTTCAACGTTTATTTATTTTTGGGACAGAGAGAGACAGAGCATGAACGGGGGAGGGGCAGAGAGAGAGGGAGACACAGAATCGGAAACAGGCTCCACGCTCCGAGCCATCAGCCCAGAGCCCGACGCGGGGCACGAACCCACGGACCGCGAGATCGTGACCTGGCTGAAGTCGGACGCTTAACCGACTGCGCCACCCAGGCGCCCCTTGATTCGCATTTTTAAAAGCTTGCACTGGCTGCTAGGTGGAGGACAGCCTACAAAGGAAAGAGCGAGAGGGGAAGCAGGGAGACCAGTTGGGCATTTTATGGTTTGGGTTAATATAAATATCCCAGCCTAACAGCGTCTCCCTTGCAGAGGATCATGGGGGCCCATTGCATAGAATCCCATGCATAGAATCCCATGCACACTCACTGCAAACCCACACACACCTCAGGTCCCCCACACTCATACACCCCCACAGCCTGTCCTGGACACAAGTGCACATGCGTGCATTCACGTTCCCCCACATGCACAGAGGCATACACGTGCTGCCATGCATGGCACCAGCAGAGACATTTTCAGGCAAGTACACACACACACACACTCCCATTTACACACTTCCTTACACATGTATGAGATACTTTCTTTTCTTTCTTTTTTTTTTTATGTTTATTTTTGAGAGAGAGACAGAGCACCAGCAGGGGAAGGGAAGTGAGGGAGGGAGACCCAGAATCCAAAGCAGTCTCCAGGTTCCAAGCTATCAGCACATAGCCTGACATGGGGCTTGAACCCATGAACTGTGAGATCGTGACCTGAGCCGAAGTCGGACACTCAACCGACGGATCCACCCAGATGCCCCTGAGATGCTTTCATCCACAGACACACACAACGCTACACCCATTTCTACACAGCTTCACATATGCACCATTTCGCATTTTCCAAAGAGAAGCAGGTCTGAGCAGGGGAAGTGGCTGGGGAAAAGGTGTGAGGGGTTTTACAAGAGGAGGAGATAATTGCAAACCGACTTAGTCATTGGAGAAAGAAAATGCTTGAAAGCCTGCTTTACCCTAAATTGTAGCTGATGGCTGGGTCAGCCAGTTATTAGCAAGACTGCATTAAAACCTTCATCCCCCAGGTTGGGGACTCCCCTTAACCCCTACTTTGGTTCATCCTCATGCAGCCACTGTGGGCCACCTGCCCAGCCACTCCTCACATTAAGCAGCTGTCACTACACTCCTAGTGACTCACAAGGCATTGGGGTGAGGGAACAGAGGCTGCCCCCTGAGACCTGAGAAGCCCTCCCAGGATGGGGAGGGATGGGGGGAGCGATGGGAGAGAGGCCTCACAAACCTCAAGCCTCAGCGGGCAGAGGACAGGCTGGGAGTGAGGTGGGTGGGATGGGTGCTGCTTTGGGGAAATCTGGACTCCTTTTCAAGGCCCCATAGGACTCTACCACCCTCCTCCTACCACTTCCTGTCCAGCACTTTCCACTTCCTGCTCTGAGAGCCAGCCACAGTGATGCACCAGGAGCCAGTAGCTCTTTGGACACACACCTTTGGATCTTTGCAGATGCTGCTCCCAAGACCACCTGAAACACCTTCCTTATCCTTCCAGACTCAGCTTAGAAGCCACCTCCTCCAGAAAGTCTTCCCTGATTGTCCCAAATCATCCTTGCAATTGGAGGTCCTTCCTGTGCTCCTGTCTAGCATTTACTGCACTGTCCAGCACCCAGTGTTATGCTTGTCTGTTTCCCCATCAGGGCAAAGAACATGTCTGTTTGATGCATTGCTCCCTGGCACATAGTAGATGCTGAACAAAGGGTTCTTGAATAAATAAAAATTGCTCCTATGCGCCAGTGAAACTAGAAAGGAGATCACTTCTGAAAAAGAATCCTTGCTTCCTCTACCTTTTTTGCTACTCCAAGAGCCACCTGATGATCACTAAGTCTCCAGTTCACACAGTAGGACACCTGTGGCCATGATTCTCTTCACCTCTTCTGTCTTCAACCTCCTCTGGTGTGTGTGGCTGGGATAATGCCAGGCCCCCTGGGTTGGGGCAGGAGATAATGGGGGAGATTTGGAAAGTGAAGTGACATGAGGCAGAGAAATTCAAGTTAAATGTACATAATTCCCTATTATTTTCTATGGAGAGAGGGTGGTAGACACAGAGGGGAGAATCAGGCTGGGCATTTGGGGATTGAAAAGAGCAAGAGAGGGGCGCCTGGGTGGCTCAGTCGGTTGAGCATCCGACTTCGGCTCAGGTCACGATCTCGCAGTCCGTGAGTTCGAGCCCCGCGTCGGGCTCTGGGCTGACGGCTCAGAGCCTGGAGCCTGCTTCCGATTCTGTGTCTCCCTCTCTCTCTGCCCCTCCCCCGTTCATGCTCTGTCTCTCTCTGTCTCAAAAATAAATAAACGTTAAAAAAATTAAAAAAAAAAAAAGAAAGAAAAGAGCAAGAGAACGTTCCCAGAGAAAGAAGACCTTAAACAACCCAGATAGGGCTGAAGCAGTTTGCTGATCAAAGGAAAGGGCCAATCGGAGCATCGGCGCTACTGAGGAATCTGAGATGTGCCAAGGGAGGTAGCTCGATGCCTCAGGACCTGGGCAGCACTGGTGGTCAGATAGGAATCCGACTTCCCCTCCCAAGAAGCAAAGAAATATAAAACTTGATAGCTATCACTCAGTGGGTGTTTACTACAGAAAAGGCAAGTGCATCCTACTGCCACTTCCCAATCCGCACCATGACAGACATCACTAATCAATCATGAGTGCACCCATCACGCCCAGGCCAGGATGAGATGTCAGAATTCTTCACCCAGGGCTCCCAGGAGCCCTAACTGATCAGTTGGAGCTGACACATTAAGGTAGACCCTTTTTGCCATCACTGGTGTCCTGAGTGCTTAAAAATTTGTCTCATTCAATTCTCACAATAAATCTATGACATCCATATGAACTTTTATTTCCCAGGTGAAGAACAAAGAAGGGTCAGCCTGGTTAAGACCTTGACCAAGTTCACAGAGCTACTAAGAGTCGGGCTGAGAATTCAGACCCTAGTAAGTCTGTCTCCAAAGTCCATGCTCTTGCCACTGTACCATGCACCCTGCCTCCCCTCGGCATCTGGACCACCACGTTGTGGGCATTTGCTGGGGCTCTGTTGCCTCCCAATCTCCAGACTTCCTGTCCCATGTGAGGTGCCAGGAGGTAAGAGGCATTACCCTCAACTAGGGCAATTGAGGAGTCTTTCAAAAGGCACTATTTGCCTAGGGCGGGCAGTGCTAAAAGAAACCAGAAGGAATTCTGCAGACCTTGATGTGACAGGGAGGGAGATGGCTGGAAGCTGAAAAGAGTGAGAGCTGCAAAGGAAAGACACAAGGGGAAAAATACCCCGACCTCTCTCCGCCCACCTTCCTAGTCTCCTCCAGTGGGAGACCCTGGAAGCCAGAGGCATGGGGTTTCGGCCCATGAGGCCCACACAGGTCAGCCTCTTGGACTTCGGAGTTGGGGGAAAAGATAGAAGGATGGAACTCTGGAGGGGCAGACTGAGAAGGCCATCCAGAGTGTTCCTTCCATATTTGGGGGGATGGGGTAGGAATTTCCCTTCCTGAGGAGTATTCATGGGACAAGAGTCTGAATCCAAAGACCTGGAGGACCAGGAGAACCGATGGGGTAAATCCCAGTCCAAGGGCAGGAGAAGACTGACTTTCCTGCTCAATAGGCAGAGAGAACATTCTCCCTTCTTCCACGTTTTTGTTCTATTTAAGCCCACTAGCATTGGTGAGGGCAATCTGCTTTACTCAGCCTAAGGATTCAAATGTTAATCTTATCCAGAGACACCCAGAATAATGTTTGACCAAATATCTGGGCATCTCATGGTCCAGTCAAGTTGACACACAAAATTACCTGTCATCACACCATTGATGGCAGAGGGGTGGTAACAGCAAAGGCATCCTAAGCAGGCTGCCCTGTGGCGTGACCTTGGCAACAACGCTGACTGCCTAGCATCTCTTGGATCCTGCTCACCTTCCAAGCTGGGACTCCAGCCTTCCCACTGATGCTGTGAGCAGCCCCCAATCCTTCCAGCAAATCTTTTCTCTGCTTGAGAATGTCAGAGTCCATTTCTGCCTCTTACAGTCAGCACCCTGGCTGGCACAACCACCCAGAACAGCGTGCTGATGCATAGAGTGGTGACCCCTGACAGGTGCATCAGGAATGCATCAAGCGGGACACATCCTCAGAGGATCCCTGTTCCCCTTCCGAATATCACGGCTCTGCCATTCATGAAATTCGGCAAGCTTGCTTTGAGGTCATTCGTGCTTATGGCTGAGCTGCCTCTGGGACACCCCAGGGGATTTCATTCTACCGTGTGTGCCCCACTCCCAGACATGGTTTGCTTTAGGAGGCTGGCAGAAAATAGACCGCACTACCCCAGGAAAAGACCCTGCCACAACCCATGTGTGGCTGCTTTGGAAGTCCACAGTCACGCACCAGTTGCCCTAAAGGAATCCTCTGAGGGAAGGGCCCCTCTCTGTCCACTGGACTAACGCCCCCACCCCCTCAGCAGCCTCCCTCGGCCAGAGGCCTGGAGCTGAGGTTGATCTTGACTGAGCTGCCCCAAGAAGTAGCCAGTTGTGTGACCGCCTCCACCTCCCACCCCCACGCCGAGGATTCGGATGTGTCTCTGGATGTTCAATATTTGCTCAGAGAATCAGAAGGGAAGCAAAGCGAGAACCATCGAGGTGACAGGCTGGTGCCTGCAGTTCCTGGGCTGCACCAGCACCGGGGTTTCCAGAGAAGGCAGAAGGGGCCGGGGGCAGGCTGGCACAGAGACCCTAAGCCCCAGGGACAGCCCGAGGACTAACAGGAGGGGACCGAGTGGGGTTCAGAGATCCAGGTGGCTCTGCTCCCCCACTCCACACACTCCCTCCAGGGCTCCATTCTGTGGGGTCCGTACATGCACATGTCAGCACCAGGGTCCCACCATTCTGCAGAACTGATGCATCAAGCCCGGGGCCAGGGCGCATGTAGCCACCAGGCTGCCGTGAGAGCCGTGTGTCCATGTCTCTTGCCCTCGGGAAGCCTAGGGCTCGTGGGACACAGCCACCAAGTGTACTCGTGAGACACTGCAGGGAAGCCCAGGCATGTCACAGGGGGGGCCTTGAACCAGCTCCTCTCCCTGAGACCCCTGACCTTCCTCTTCCTCCAGTCCCATGAGTCCCGAGGACAAACCTGTGGCTGGCTCCCAAATGTCTTCCTGCACCTCTTCCCCCTGTCCTCACAACAAGGCTGGAGAGAGATCCTGGGAGGTGACGTGGGGAGCCCAGGCTGCCCCCTTCCTGCCCTCTCACTGTCCCAAATACACTGTCTATCTCTTCCCTGGGGTGTCACTGGACTGGCCAGCAGCTCCCAAGTTCTTGGAGGACGACCCCTTCTCAGGCCAACAGGGCGTGCACCCTCTCCTGGGAAGCGGCGGGGCAGGGGGGTGGGGGTGGCCATCCGCCCCCACCAGGGTCTTGCACCAAGTACAGCTTGGTCATACTGCTGATGGTGCACAGAAAAAGACCCCTGCCCAGAAAGGAGGCCAGGAATAGAGGGCCATTGGCCCATGCTCCAGGGACCTCAGACTTGAGCCTGGCTGTGGCTGGGCCACCTGTTGGTCCCCCCTTGTCTGTGGCAGCTGAGCAAAGGGGGGCCTCCCACAGCAGGCCTGCACCTTTGCCCACACTGGCCCCTGCCTCACTGGTCTTCCCGACATCCCCTGGCTGCCCACTTGGTACTTGGCTCCAGGCTGCCCAGGACAAGGGGTTTCTAGGCACTTGTGAGCCTCTCTCTCCCCTGGAGTCTGCAGCTCAGGAGGGATGGCTTGTGCCAGAAGGCGGGGGGCGGCGTGGGGGGGCCGGGGGGGCGGCCAGGGCCGGGAGGGCCAAGTGCAGGAGGGGCAGCCTTTTATCTCGGCTCTGTAAAGCAAAGCCACCCCCCGCCCGAAGCTGGCCGGCATTGGCACGCACCATAAATCTCCAGGATGCCGCAGCTGTGACTGGATTATTTATAGTTCCCGTCTTACATTTCTAACACGAAAATATCACACAAAGGGAAAGGTAATGAAATCTCACCTCTCCTGCACGTCCCTCACTCCAAACTGCAGGGCTTTCCAGAAGCCCTTGTGGCTGAAGGAGGGATGAGAGAGGCCCGCTGCCCGCACCCCGCCCGCCTCCCTCCCTCCTTCTGTCAGTCACACGCACATTTCTCCTCACCCACCCCTACATTTGCTCTCAGACACATTCTCTCACGTTTTCTTTCTCTCACACATACATTTCCTCCCAGATGCACAGACAATTCTGTTCTCTCGCTCTGCTCCCTCCCAGCTCGCCCCGCCTGAGCCCTTCCCATCCCCCAGACACACCCCACACCTCCCTGCCCTTTCCCTGTCCCCACCGCCATCCCCGTCCCCCGTCGGCATGACTAACTCCCCTCAGCTTGTGTATTTGCTTTTTTGCCTTGTCAATGAAGATGCTGGCACATTAATTACCAGGTCTGTCCTCCGCGAGGCCTGTCAGTTCCTTGTCAATAGAGGGGGGAAGTGTCAGCTTACATTCATCTTGCTCTGCCTTTAAAACACCCATGGGCATTGCCTCCGCAGGGAGACCCATTCTGGGGCACACGGCAGTGAGGACACTGGTTCCTGGGCTTGACATACACGGACATACAGAAAACACAGGTCACAGAACACGCCTCTCACTCTGCGGGAGGCAACACCCAAGGATGTGCTCTGCAAACTGGATGCTGGGCCTGGGCAGGGGTATTTTAAGGTACAGAGGATGAGAGGTCCCTCCTGCCTCCTGCATTACTGCCTGGTGGTGTTAAGTAGGATGAGCCTTGTGCGACACTGTCCCACAGGCACAAACCGGAAACTCTGGAGCCTTGGGCAAGCTTCCGTGGAGAGTCAAGGCCCAGCCCCTTCCCTGCCTGGCCCTCCCGCCCCACCCCTGGCGCAGGCCTGAAGAAGAAAAATCAGAAAGCGACACTTCATACTGTAGCCCAGCCTGACATGTTCATGACTCACTTCTATCCAGACGTCACAGTGACTGGGGACGCCCGCGCTCGCTCTCTCTCTCTTTTACACACACACACACACACACACACACACACACACACACACTTGTGCTGGGATAAGGGGAAGCCACCCTGGGCTGGGAGTCAGGGGAGGGGACCTGGGGATAGAAACCCTGCAACCCACCAATAGGGCTTGGACGCCTCCTTTTTTATCTTAAAAATTCACCTGGCTTTTTGGGTTATTCACTATAACATATGGCTGCATAAAAAATGTCTTAAATGACTTATAATTAAATTTTCATTTTTTTCTGAAATCTTTGCCTTACATTGACCTTCCTGGAAGTTGAGTCTCAAAAATGCTTTGGCTTTTCCAAGAAACACAGGGCACAAACACCCCAGTGAAAGATCGAGGGGACCAGTCTAGGGGGTAAGGATAAGAACAGGGGCTCTTGGGTTTACATCCTGGCTCTCCCAAGCATTAGCCGTGTGACCTTAGCTAAACCACTTGCTTCAGAACCTTGGCCTGTAAAATGGGTGTGATATTACTACCTGTCACATGGAGCTTTTATGAGCATGAAATGCATTAATATACGCAAAGTGCTTAGGACAGCAGCTGACATGATACAGATGTTTGCAATTATTTTTCTGTAGAAGACCAACACAAAGCCACCAAATCAACTGCAGCGACTGAAATTAGAGATCACTCCTGCCTCCTTCCTAGGATGTGCTTCTGCCCTCGGCCTGTGCCCCACACCCAGCTCCTGGCCTCTGTTCATGCATCTCTGTGTGCCAGGCGGTCGGTTCACAAACGTTCTCCTCTGTTCCAAGTGCTATGCCTGGACTGGCGGCTCAGTATTACAAAAGACTTTCTAGAGGGGGAGACAGACACATGCAAACAACATGGTACAGACCACGTTCCGAACCGAAGACCCCCCACGAGCAAATGTCATGCTTTCTTTCTAAGAGTCACTGCCCGGCTGTGGGGGCCAGCGGCAGGCAGGTTAAAGCGGTGTGTTCAGTAGAGTGTGATTATGATGATACTGTCTAGCGGCCTGGAACATTCTTGCCTCGTGTCTATATCAAGTCTCTTCTTTGATGTCGCCTCACCTGCAGGGCCTTTGATGTCGCCTCACCTGCACGACAACACTCTTCCCCAACCTGTCAATCACTATCCTCTACTTACCCTATTCATCTTCTTAGCACTTACCACCACCTGACATATTTTGACATGGTGTATTTCTTTGTTGTTGGTCTGCCCCACCAGAGTGATATAAGCTTCCTGAGGACAGGACCTTTGTTCTGTTTCCTCCTGAATCCCCCGTGTCTGGAGTAAAAATTGGCAGGTAAGTAGGTGGTCCATAGGTATCTGTGAAATAAAGAAGCTGTGAGCAAATCACCCTTTGGTGTCTTGACTTTCCCTTTGAAGCCCCACTTTTTTTTTTTTAATTTACATGTATTTATTTATTTTTGAGAGACAGAGGGAGACAGAGCACAAACAGGGGAGGGGCAGAGAGAGAGGAGACACAGAATCCGAAGCAGACTCCAGGCTCCGAGCTATCAGCACAGAGCCTGACGCGGGGCTTGAACCCACAAACTGTGAGATCATGACCTGAGGTGAAGTCAGACGCTTAACCGACGGAGCCACCCAGGCGTCCCAATGAAGCTCCACTCTTACTCGCCACATGGGGAAACTCTAACTTGAAAGTCGGTAAGATCCAGGGGCACCTGGCTGGCTCAGTGAGTCGAGCACGCCTTTGATCTTGGGGTCGTGAGTTCAAGCCCCACGTTGGGCGTAGAGCCTGCTTAAAACAAACAAACAAATAGGGAGAGAGAGAGAGAGAGAGAGAAGAGGTAAGACATGATAGACCTTTCATTCGTTGAAAGAAATTCAGCTGAGACCAAACCCACTTTGCACTCCCTGCTGCTTAGGTGATGGGGCACTGTGGTCACAAACGTTCCACGCGCTCCGCCCTGCGGCTGGTCCATCTGGTCCTGGAAATGATGAACCCTGGCTCTGCCATGTTCGAGTGGGTGACTGCCTGTGGGCATGGAGCTTAGGTCTGGGACTGTGACTTTTGGGATTCATGAGGACTTACCTGAGAGTCCCTAAGAGGGCTCCAGAATCAATCAGGTGGTTTGGGCAAGCTCAGGACCTCGGGAATGCCTGAAGATAGTCATGCAGGAGTTTAGGTTCTGAACCACTGAGCCAAGTGAGAGATCTAGAATGGCAGGTCAGGGCCCAGGCTGGGCTGTTTCAGGACCAGGCAAGAGCAGGTTAAGAGGGCGTCCCAGGCAGGAGGTGCGGTCAGGGTGGGGTGGAAAGCCTCTCATCTGTGTGCTCACTCTCTGCAGCACCACTAAAAGGTCCTCCCTTGACCTCTGTGCTCCCAGCTATCCAGGCGCTGGATGGCTCCCTCAGAGAGAAAAATTTGGTTTGGCCAAATCTTCTTGCGGCTGAGCCCAGGGAAGGGCTAGAGGCCTGATGGGGGGCAGGGGGGAGGCCAAAATTCCAGTATCAGGGAGATTCACCATCAGACCCGGAATGGCTTCATTCCTGAGTCATGCTTTCCTACAGACTTAGAGCACCTCCCAGCATTCATGTATTCCACGAAGGGTGTTTTCTTATCTTAAATGGTGGACAAGGAAGACCTGGAATTTCCCTCTCGCTGCTCATGAGCCCTACTCACCTGTCAAAACCCAAGCCAAAGTGCCCAACCTAAAACCAAGGTCCCTCCATTACCAAGCCGTGTGTTTGTGGAACTCTTCCTCATTAAGCTGAGCACATCAACAAGGACTTTGGCTTATTTATGACCACATTCCAAATGCTGAAGAAATCATGATTGACTAGAAGACCCCATAAAGCAAGGACAGGCCATGCTTCCTGACTGAGAATGCGATTATATCTCTCATTCCTCCCAAATAACCCAAGCATCTGCGCAGCTGAGGGGGGCAGGATGTTCCTGTTTGGCAGGGACTGTTCCCAGTTTTGATGACCTGCCTCAACCAGATGGGTATCTCTTCCAAGTTATCATGTGTACATACCCTGCAGGGGGCTGAGGGAGATGGTTACATAATCTAGGAAGAGTGCATCAGCCGGGAGCAGGAGGGCCCTCCTCTTCTAGCCATGGACCCCTGGCTCCATTTAGGCAGTTTCCTTCTATCCTCCAATCGCCCCACAGCTACCAGGCTCATTGGAAACAAGAATCCCTGACATGCGTACCCAGGCAGCTTTCCAGACACGTCAGAGAGCCCCTCTTTGGGGGGAGGGGACTCTTGGGGGTAGAATCAGCTCGGAAGGGAATGTGGCCGCTCCTATCTGGCAACAGGCCCTGGGGCCCTGCGCTCTGGAGGGTCAATTGGTGCATTCCACCCCTGAGCAGTGTGAACACCTGTCACTCCCCCAGCAACCCAGGCAAAGTGAGGTTCTTGATACGCCAGGGCACAGGGGACAGCCCCCACCTGTAGCCTTCCCCCTGTAGCTCAGGAGTCCCAGGGCTCTGGGGCACAATCCACGTTACCAACAGCCTCCCAGCCTTCCACTTGTCACTCTCCCAACCAGCCACCTGCACTAACCCCCAAACTGACTCTTTCCTTTAGGAAGATAATAGCATCAGTGCATGGCAATCAACAATTAGAGAGGACCTCATAGTTCACGATCATCTGGTATCTCACTTGATTCCCTGTATCCTGCTTTGAAGGAAGCACCATTCTTTCTACCTCACAGAACAGAAACTTGACTCTCGGAGTGACTTCTCCAAAATCACTAGTACAGAAGAAATCTGAACCCCCTTCTATCTAATCCCAAAGCCTGAAAGACTTCTTTCTAAGCACCCCATCTGTGTATTTTAGGGCCTTTTCTGGGCAAGCACTTGGTGAGGAAGGAAACACAGCCTAATCAATCCCCCCCAGAACAATGGGGACAAAGCTAGAACCCCCAAAAAGGGCAAGAGAGAAAAAGACACACATGTCAAGGTGCACTCTTAGCCCATATCGGCAACTCCTCCTTGCCAAGCCTTACCAGAGTGGCGGTCTGCCAACACCAGCTTCAGAACGAGGACCCGCAGCCCCTGTCCTCCCCAGGGAGACTCCAGACACCTGGCTTGAAACACACAGCCCGGGGCGCCTGGGTGGCGCAGTCGGTTAAGCGTCCGACTTCAGCCAGGTCACGATCTCGCGGTCCGTGAGTTCGAACCCCGCGTCGGGCTCTGGGCTGGTGGCTCGGAGCCTGGAGCCTGTTTCCGATTCTGTGTCTCCCTCTCTCTCTGCCCCTCCCCCGTTCATGCTCTGTCTCTCTCTGTCCCAAAAATAAATAAAAAACGTTGAAAAAAAAAATTAAAGAAAAAAAAAAAAAAGAAACACACAGCCCAAGACCGCAGGCCATGGGACAAGGGGCTGGACGTGTGCGGCAGGACTCAGACCGCGCTGTGATCAAGCACGTGGACCTACAGCATGAAGCCCTGGGTTCAAATTCCAGCTCCGATCGTTTCTAGTTGGGTGTCCCTGGGCCTCAGTTGCTTCCCCTGTAAAAAGGCGGGATAGCAGTGGCTCTGTCAGGGGCGCTGTAAGGATGAAATGAGATCATGCAGACTGCTCACTGCAGGCTGCAGCCTTCAGGCTGGGTTGTAAGGTTGTGCACTGCAGAAGCAAGGGCATAGGTCTGGAGGCAGGCTCCAGCCGGAGCATGGCTGCTTTGAAACCTTGAGCCCAGTGCTTTGAAACTGTGACTCCAGGGCTCATCACTGGGATGGAGGTACTCCCAAGGTCACAGTCATGTAGGGGAAACGCCCTGCACCTGTAAAGTGCCCCAAATCTACTCATTCCTTCCCTTCTCTCCCCTGGAATGTGAAATTGCCTGCAGAAAACATCTAACCTCTGGCTTCGGTTTGTTATCCAGAAGAACACATGGCTTTGTATGGGCGAGACACTCAACAAATAAATGAGTGTTCCCCTGGTGAGGGGAAAGGGGACAATGGATAGGCCCAGGGTGCTGATTGGGTGGAAGACAGCTGAGCAAGAAGGCAGGCAGGGTAGCAGGCAGGG